CTGACAGAGGAGCTTCGTTATATTTCATCGTTTCTTGTGTAGGCATGCACAAAATTCAAGGCGCAGCAAGAGTAGATTCACTTTGAGTTAATAACAAAGCGTAGTACGTTTAGGAATTCATGCGAATGGATCTATACTTTCCATCCGATCGGAGGAAGTGCGTAGGCACTTTATTTTGTAATTTGTTGAAAGCTACGGAATGGATAGAATTCATTGATAAGCTCATCTGAGAGTAGGGATATCTGAGCATTGAAGCAAAACATCAAAGTAGAGTCCATTTGTTTGGCCGTAACGATGGTTGATGCTGCATATTGTTCTCTACCTATCCGCTGCTTCTAAAAGTGAGAATCAATCCATTTTCTGGGTGCTTTGGTGAGAGCTGAAAAGTTTTCCCTGCTAATGTCGGTTTGCTACTTTCAGAATTACATCAAAACTGACTTGCGACATGAAATTTCGTGTAATCCGGATAACATTCAGTAATCCTATCAATGTAATATGTACCTTTTACGTTTGCCTGTCATCTTCCTTTAGAGGTTTATTGTACTGTTTTAGTCTGGAAAGGCGTATGAAGGACAACGCTGTCTTTGATTGGCTTTTTTTTTGCACTTTCAACCAAATAACTCGGTATTCGCGTTTGACATTTTTTTCTCAACTTCAGCCGGTCCCTTATCCGCCAGGTCAACCGCACACCGCCTTTTCGGGTCCAAATTCTATTGAGCCTGCACAGAGCCATCACCTGCATCAGGGTCTTCAGAGGTCTCTTGGCAGCGGAAGTGGACTTACTGGACCTAGCAGCGTTCCTGACGCCTTGAGCAGTACCTATCAGGTCTCACCCATGGGCGCGCAAGGCTATGTTCTTGCACCGCCGCTCTCAGCTGAAAGCCAGGTGTCACGACCTCCCCCTCAGCCCATCCCACCGCAGCAGCAACAGCAACCGCAGCAAGCACCACCCCCCCAACAACAGTACTATCCATCAATTGCCCCAACGCCTTATGATGTGAGGCTTTGACAGTTATTTAAGACCCCATCGCTCTCAATCGTTCTTGATCGAATACCTAGATCTGCCCGCATGATATGAGGAGTCTCATATTTAACACATAAACACTTTAGAGGCTGTGAACATGGCTGATAATCTGTGGATTCATGTTGCTAATCAAATTTGCGGAGGCTAAATGTCTCATACTACTCTTGTCATTGGAACAAATATTTCTCTACCTTTGCACCTCTAAGATTGGGAGACTGAAATTCTGATCAAGACCCTTTCTCCGCTGGTACGAATTGAACGCTAAGCAACTCCGAATTATTGATGGGATATCAATTGCAATGATCATTTCTGACATTTAGAATTTTTTCAATCTATGCAAAACCAGACGGAAGATAGCATCAGAACCACACCCATTTGAAACATACACTTTAAGGTTTCAAGGACTCTCCTTCTGGAAGACCCACGATTTGACTCCTATTATTGTCTTAGTTCACCGTCGATGACGACATTCACTAGCTGCTTTCGGACAGAGACTTCAGTTATTTACCCAGTTAACTTACCTTAGGTAAGGTTGGGTTTGGGAATTCGTAAAATTAAATCCTGAAGTAATTGTGCTAAATAAT